TTTACTGATCTGAAGAGTTTGCAATATCATGCTTCCTTATAATATGACCAAGCAAATCCTGAACTAAGAAAAATAAAGGATGTGGAAAAGATGGAAACTTATATTTCAATTTTCTATTCTCCTAAATTTCTCAAAGCTGAGAAATCAGATACAGCTGCAATCAAGGATAGTTTTTTTAGCCTTTGATTTCATAAAAACATAATTAAACTCATTATTACCGTTATTATTTGATAAGATAGTATAAAAAAATTACATTGAAATATTAACTTTACCGGACCAGCTCTTTTTTCTGGCAGATACTCCATCAGAAAATGTTTGAATTAGATGCAGCGTCAGCTTTTAAAATTTGAGAATGTCATAGCTGGTACTTAGATCCCATTACTGTTATCTTTTTCCTGGCCAACTTAAAGCGGTCTGTATCTGAAATTATGAAAGAAGGCATAGCTTAAAAGCTAGTACAGTATTCTCGAACAGATGTATATGATTTTGAGAGCAAAAACAATTCAGGTTTTATTCCACAGAAAAAAGAGTTTCTCAATTTTTTCCTCAATGATTATGTAGGAGCGAATTCATGGCTATTGTTTAATATTCTTGAACAGACTGAAGTCATGCTTTTATATTCTTGATCTACATTTAAAATGAGATCCAGATTTCAATTCTTTTCAAGAATTCAAAACCACTTTCGCATATCAGCCACTTTCACATACTAACCACTTTCACATAACAAAGCAGAATATAAGTAGGCAGATGAGCAGCTAAAACCTGCTAAGAAACCTTGCATAAAAATGCAGATGTTTTAAGTAGACGCAAGACAAGCTATCACTGCCTAGTATCGATGACTTTTATTGTAGCTTAGACATGGCCAATCATGTGATTGAGGCTAAAGAGACTGAAAATGAGGCCTTCAACCAATAAGAAACCTAAATCTATATTTTAAGCTAATAAAAGTTATATAAAATGTTTTGATTTATTAGCTTAAGTATCGAGTTTGCAATGAAAAAATATTTTCAAGCATAATCTAGACAAATAATTTTTTATTACTTAGGTTAAGTATAGCAAGAGAAAATAATTTTTTTTTGTTGAAAAAATCAAAGTTATATATGGAGTATAAAGTAAAACACAAATAAGTTTTGCTTAATCGAAGAATGTTTTTTTACTAAGTAAAAAAATATTACGATGTACCAACCCTATAAAAGCTCTTAAGAATAAAAAGTTATTTCAAATTAGAAATTGCTATAATTACATATAAAAAGAAAAATTTGGAAACTTTGTTTTTTTTAAAAATAATAATTTGATGGAAAACTTAAAAAAAATTTAAATGCTAAATTCATTTTTAACGCTTTTTAACACATGTCAATCTACCCGAAAGAATGGTTTAAAATATTTTTGTTCAAAAATAACTCTTAAGAGTGGTTTAAAAATAAAATACTAAACTTTTTTTAACTTTACTAATTTTATAAACGTAACTTTTACTTTCAAATTAATTTTCAAAAATTTTTTTAATAAGAAGTTTTTTTGATATTTAGTTTTTTTTTTTTTTGAAAAAAATGTATTTTGTGACTTACGCCCTTTTAACAAAAACCGATTCATTTAAATTTAAATGCACAACTCTTGTTTGACATCTCTTAGACATTAAAAATGTCTAAGAGATGTCAAACAAGAGTTGTGCATTTAAACTCTTGTTTGAAACCATCTCTTAGACATTAAAAAGTTTTGGTATTTACCAAACCATCTATATTTGAAGCAAATATGATTAAACTAACTCTTAAAAAATTTGAACGCCATTGAATCACTCATTCCTTGCCCTCAAATGACATATTTGAAACAAAAAAACGGACCTTAAAATAACTAAAAACTGCTTAGTTTAGACTAAAATTAATATTTTTTATATTTTTATATAGGGCATATAAATATATGAATTTTTGATTAAAATTTCCTTTATAAAATATTGCAGTTTACATTTTAATAATCTTTGATTTCTTTTATTCTTTACTAAATTGTTGTATCAATTGTTTATCAAGGTAAAGATGTCCTTATGTTCGGCGTTGAGGTGACGAGTGACCTTGTGGTATACATCGTTTCTTGCAAAACAATTGCATAAATATTCACTTTATTTAGGATAAATTAAATTAGGTAGCCTAATATTTGAACTACAATTTAGGTATGTCTTTAACAAATAGCACCTCAATAGTAGTTAAAACAGCATCGAATTCATTCAAATTTGAAGTCTGCACTGTAAAATGTCATTTTAAAAATATTTGATGTAGTCCTATCACCCCATAAAATTCAAGTTGTATTAAGAAATCTATAGAAAACGGCATGCGTTTTCAGACTAGTTAAAAACTGAAACTCTTAAAAGGTTTAGAGTAAAAATGAAACTAATCTTGTTTTAGCTTTGTTTCTTTTAAAGTCGTTGAAAATGCGTTTTCAATTTTAGTAACTAATTGTTTTTTATTACAAATATGTTGTTTTTTTTTAAATAAAAAACTATTTATCGCATATATATTTGGAAAAAAAATCATACAAGTACGTTCGTTTTCATTAATTTTAAACAAACGCCAAAAAACGTTTCTTGGCGTTCGTTTTTCTTTTTTTTTTTTTTTTAACAAAAGTTTGCATGTTTACAAGAACATACACTTAACTGTTTACAAGAACATACACAAGTGTCATTTATTGCAGCATGAAAAAATTCTTTAGACGAGCGTTGTTTACTGCATATGAAAACAGTTTTATATTATTTTTTTGTAATAGAATGCATGCATTTTAAGAATTATTACAACAAATAAAAATTCTACAATAAAAGTAAATAATATATCAAAGGAATTGATATATAAAATATAAATAATTACATAAAATAAAAACTATTATTTAACATATTAGTGTAATAATTTTTTTTAACAGTTAAATAATTTTATATTCGCCAATATAATTAAAAGTGTAGCAATTTTTTGTTAAGAGTTCAATCTTATCAAAAACATTTACATTTAAATCGGCGCTCTTTTAATTTTTTTTTTTTTTTAGTGGAACGACTATGTCTTTTAAAAAGCAGTTGATAAAAAAATACAGTTGAATATAATTTTTTTTTTTTTTTTTTTTTTTTTTGATGAGTTAGTGTTTTCAATTTAAGTTACAATGATACGGGGCTGTAGGAACAAAAATGATATAACAATTGTAAAAAGTAGGTTGTATGTAAAATTATAATAAGGTTTTTTCGATTTTAATCTTTTTGTTTTAAAAACTAGCTACCACTATCGCGCATTTAGAAATCGGTTGCGATGGTTACAAAATCTTATTATAAGCGAAGCGTTTGTTTTCAATTTTTACTATTTTTTTCGAATTTATTAAAAGATTTTTTGAACTTAGAAGATCGAGTTTTAAATTTATAAAACTCACTTTTCAATTTATTTTCTTAAAATGCTTTACGGTATCATTTTGTTATCATTGTTTATTAAAATTCACACTGGTAACAAAACTTTTTAAATTTTGTAAGTATACTTCAGTTTTATAATCAATTTTTTCTTTTCTTTTAAAAAGTTTATGTTTTGGAACTTAAGTCAAATGGTTTTAAGGCGATTTGACGACAATGACCTCTTGAATATAATTATGACAACAATTTTTCTTTCTTTTTTGTTTATTTTGTTGATATATTCAGTGAATTTTTTTAAACAAAAAAAATGCAAGAAAAGATGCTAAGAATATTTAAATTTGATATTTTTGATAATAGTTTGATTTCAAGATATAAGCTGATTCTATTCTAAGACTAATTTCAAGCGACTTTAATTTTAATCGTTTCATTCGATTTAATAAACACGTAAAATATTCCCACAATATAGTTCAATAATTTGTAAATCGACAGTTTGTCCAAGTTTTAATACTAACTGTGACACTATTGTTATTAGTAGCTTTTTTTATATTCTCACCGTAAGTTAAATTTTCTCATTAGAACTTGTGTTCATTTGGTCACTCGTAAAGAGAAATATTAATTTTATAAAATGATAGTGAAAGTAAAACTTTTCTTTAAAATGACTGTTACATGAATTACAAAATTTGAAAACCATAATTTTATTTGTCTATCTAAAAAACATGCATTTGATATAATTTATATAAAAATATAAATTTGATTGAATAGATTAATGGTTCTTCTCAGCCGCGTTAGTTGCTTTTTTTTATATTTCAATAATATATATTTTGTGTAGCCTTATTCAAGAAGCGCTAATTGCATCAAAATTTAATTAATGAGTTGTATAAAAAATGCATTATTTCATTTTATTGATTTTCTTCAAAGTTCCAAATTTAGGTCGAAATCGAATCATCAAATATTTGAACCCTCACTCTTTGACGTTTTTTCATATTTATTTAACTTATTTTAATAAAGATTGTCGAAGGAGATTTTCGATGTTAATTCTAAATTTGAACAAGTTTTGTAGAAGTTCGGTTTATAAATACATTGAGTTCTTTACAAATTTGCATATAAATAAAACAGGTTTTCCTTTTTATCATCTTATATAAAAAAAATGATTATATTTATTTCGAATGACAATAGGAATAAATAAAGCATTTTTTCTAAGTTAGACATATTTTTGATCTATTTTATGTTATTTTAAGTAAAAAATATATTTTATATATGTATATTAAAAATTATAAACACAACATTTATAATCAAATTTATTAATATAAAAATTATGTTCAAAATAATAAAATTAGTATATTTTTTATAATTTTTATTAGGAAGTTATTTTGTTTAAAAGTTTTATTAAGTTTTATATACAATTTCATTTATTATTAATGTGACTATGTTTATTATATTATAATATAAATATAATATATTTATTAATAATATGAAAATGTATTCAATTTTTTATTGAATTATAGTGTATTAATTATATTTGTATATAGAAAAAAAATATATATGTATAATATCACAATTTTGATTATTATTTCATGTTTTAATTCTTATTTATTTGTTTATTATTATATTTCACATTTAATTTTCGCTTTAGATAGTCTATCTAAAAGTGTTACAGTTTACTTTGATGGTGATTTCGATTTATTCTACGAATGTTTTTACGAAAGTCAAACGTCATTCACTGATGAAATAAACTCAGTTGTTGATGAACAAAATAATCGATTGTCTGGTTTCAAAATAGAATTGATGGATGGTGGCTGGGTAATTTCGATTAACGATAGAAAAACTTTATACGCAACTTCTTGCGAGAATTATTTCATAAATTATTACATAAAATCTGGAAGAAAGTTAAAGTTGTTATATGTTAATAAAAATATTTTAAGTGATGAAGAAAAAAATCTTTTAAATCGCTGTTTAACTAATGTTCGCTTTGTCATCCTTCAACGTTCAATTAATTTCGAAGGATGGAAACCCAAAGATAAGATTAAAGCGTCGACTATGATAGCGATCTCAGATTATTTAATAACAAAAAAAGATTTTGAAGAAAACTTTCTCCCTTGGATTAATCTTTGTGAAGAATTAATTCTTGAACTTCACGACGACATTGATTTCTTTAAAGACATTTGTAAATGGATTCGTTGTTCGAACATTAAAAAGTTTCAGATCAAGTACCGTGGAATCATCGTAACCTCGATGAATTAACTTTATAACGCGGAAAAATGTTTAATATTATAAATAAACTATAACTAATAATAATTGATTAAACTATATAAACTATAAATAATAATAATCTTAAACTATAAATAATAATAATAATTGATATTAATCTTTGTTTAAATATATAATTTTTTTTTATAAACTTTTTTTTTATATTTTCATAATTATAGTTGATGAAATTTAATTTTATATTTAAAAAAATAAAATTATATTCTGCACACAATCACATTTATGCTAATATCAATTATTTTTGAAGTTTAAAGTATTCGCCGTTTTTTTTTAAGATTTTCGTTGACAACGAAACTAAAAAATTCGAAACTTTGCAGAATTTTTTGTTTAGAGTTTTTTTGTTCGAAAGTTAAATTCATATAACTTTTGTTTAATAGTAAATCAGACATTGAGTTTTATTTCGATTAAACTTTTTTATATATTAACTATTTAAAAAAAAAATTAAATTTTGCTTAAAAAATAAAAATTTTAAAGTTTCTTATATTTATTTATATATATTAAAATGTTAAAAGTCATGTAGGCAGAACACATCGGTTTTTTGCAAATGTAAAAAATGCCAGAGCATTAAATAAGTTTAGGGCAGTTGACAATTTCGCCCAAAGATAATAAACTTAATAATAATTTTAAAATTGATATATTTGATAATAACTTTAAGTAATAATTTAAGTATATAAAAATGTCGGTACTTTTGCACTAAAATTGATGCGGATATTCTAACTTTTTTTACTGATAGTTCCGCTGCTTTTAGAATTATTTATATTGCTAAAACTAATTCAAATATTAAAGCCAGCAATATCGGCAGTATAAGAAAAGAGCAAAACCGGATCAATTTTACTGCAGAGGTACTGTCATTTTTCATTACTTAAATAGGACATAAGCTTTTAAAAGTCTTTATTTGTATAAATAGTCACGTCCTATTTTTTCTAGTGCGTTTTTTAAACAATGTTTAACCTGCACTAATCTATAATTAATTTTATAAAGAAGTTCAATATGCCTCTCCATGGCTGATAATTTTTAACTCAAATAAAACTAACAGTTATCACAACAATCAAGATCTTCCTAAAATTATGAACGGCAATGTACATCTTCGTTTGGCCTTTAAGCAGTGGCTTGGCGACAAAAAATAGGCCTTCCCTTGAAATTTTAATCCTAAATTATTTTTCTCTCCCCTCCCCCTCAAAACAAAAAAAAATTATACATGAGAACAAAAAGCGTTATTTTTAAATACAATTTTGATTTAAGTTAATTGAAACAAGTATGTTACATATTGTATAGCTAAGAATTTCTAATTCTTAGATATACAATAAAAGTAAAAATGTTATTAAATGTATTTGAAAAATTTGACTTAGGCCCCTAATAAGTCTGGGCCCTCCTACGGCTGCGGGCCCATCGATACATTTCTGTCTTTAAGATACAAAAATTATTTCCGATATTCTTGGTACCCACAAATCAAATCCATGGCAACATAAGCATCTGATAGGGTTGCATCTCTTTATCGTGCTCGCTACTTTCTTATTTAGGAATCTATTCTTTATCTCAATAAACCTCAATGCCCTTTTTCTTTTAGGTAAGGTGCACAAACGCATTGTAAAAATAGTCGGACCCGCTATTGCAGCAAATTTTTGTATTAAATGTAAGTAGTATTAAAAAATCTATTTAAGTCTTTCCTCTAAAATTAAATTTTTTTAAATTTCTTTACAGAGAGTTCTCCTAATTTAAATTTGGTAGTGATTTTTTAGACAATTTTTTGTCGTATAAGAATGGTCATGAATTAAATATAAATTTTATAAATAAATATTTATACAAAAAATTATGGTCCAAAAATGGGTAACTATTAAATTTGGATAATCTTCAACCATGAAAGACATTCTTGTTTTTGTTAGATACAAAACAAACAAATAATGCTATAAAAAACAAATCAACGCTATATAATATCACAACAAAGAGTTATAATATCACAACACAGAGTTATAATATCACAACACAGTTTTATAATATCACAACACAGAGTTATAAAATGATGTGGCACCAGCTTTTAATTGTAATTAGTCGTAAAAAGTATATTTTATATTAAACCCATAAAAGTTTGGTAATCTGTGCTGTTTGAAGGGTTTTTTTTTGACAATTGTTGACACGGGGAAGGGAGGATGTCAATTAAAGTTGACGTCAACAATTTTTTTTTTTTTTTTGAGTTTCATTGCTTTAGTAACGAAAAATTAGGCTAAGTTTGTAGCGTAGTTTTTAAAGGTAGGGAGGGGGGGATACAAAATTTGACATAATATTATATTACTTTAAGGTGGTACATCCCCATTAATTTCGAAATTTTTTAGAAAAAATCAATTTTTTGAAAATTGGTTTTTTAAATTCAAAATTTTTCATAGAATAAAATTATTATTTATTTTTTTAATAAATAAATAAGGAGGTGTGTACAATTATGTGTTTTGTGGCCATAGTAGATTGAGAAGTCCGTAGCAACGCCATAGCAACGCATTTTAAAACAAAAAAATTTAAACTTGCTCAAGCTTATCAACATCAAAAACTCTTTTCTACTGCAGCTTCTTGTTTGTTTTTTGCTTCATGTTTATTTTAAAAGCTATAACTTGAACTACTCATGCGAACATGTATTAAAATATTGTGCTTGCATGCTGTTTTAGTTTGTTAATGTTCTTATAAATAAATAGCTAAATAAGATATGGGACGTTCTATTGCTCGAACTAAAAAAAGAAAGTTTTCTTGTAATCAACACCTAAAATCTTCAATGTTTATTCAGCTTGATTCGTCAATTTCTAATCCAAGTTTATCAGCAAGCTCTAGAAAACTAGTAAACACTGAAATATCTGGAAGTCAAAAAAATTACAATATCATTATTAACTTTAATATTTTAAAACTAATGGTTAGTGAGTTTAAATGCCCTAAATGTGGAAATGAAGTTTGTTTGGAAAATGACTTAAAAAGCAAGAAAGGTTTTTGTTTTTACTTAACTTTACAGTGCCTTTGTTGCCCATTTAGCAAAGGATGGCACACGTCTCAGTTTTCAACTAAAAAATCTAAAAGTACTTCAGGTGTTCCTACTGCATCAGTTAATTTTCAAGTTGTTACTGCTTTTCGTGAAATTGGTAAAGGTTATCAATCTATATGCAAATTTGCTGCAGTAATGAACATGCCATCTCCTATGAATTTTAAAAGTTATAGTGCAATTAATAACAACTTGTTAAGTATTTATAATGAAGTTGCTTCTGAAAGTATGTCAAGTGCTGCCAATGAAACCAAAGATATTATTTCTAATTCAAGCAATGTTAATGGTGTTTCTGCTTGCCAAGTTTCTGTTGATGGTACCTGGCAAAAGAGAGGTCATCAATCTTTAAATGGTATTGTCACTGCAATATCAAGAGAGAATGGAAAATGTATTGATTCAATTTTGTTAACTAAGTTCTGCAAAGCTTGTAGTTATTGGAACAAAAAAAAGTCAACACCAGGTTATCAAAACTGGAAAATAAATCATGTTTGTGAAGCTAACCACAATAAATCATCAGGATCCATGGAAGCTTCTGGTGCTGTTTCAATTTTTCAACGGTCAATTGAAAAGCATAGTTTGAGATATGAAGGTTATATTGGAGACGGTGACAGCTCAGCATATAATGATGTTGTTGCAAGTAATCCATATCCAGGTTTTTAAATAAACAGACTTTATTGTGTTGGACATTACCAAAAGAGACTTGGAAATCGTGCGCGTAACCTTAGAGTTACACTTAAAGGTCAGTTTCTTTCAGATGGAAAAAGAATAAATGGAAAAGGTCGTCTGACAGATAAAGCCATAAATACGCTTTAAAATTATTTTGGTATGGCTATCCGTCAAAATGTGAATAACCTTTATGCAATGAAAAAAGCTGCTTGGGCTGTTTTATTTCACAACAGTGACATAAGTGAAGAGTCAGAGAGACACAAATTTTGCCCACGAACTAGAACTAGTTGGTGTTTGTGGCAGAGTAATAAAGTAACTGGTGAAACAACATACAAAACCAAATTAAGCTTACCATTAGCAATTAAAGCAGTACTTATGCCTATATTTACAGATTTGACAAATGAAACATTGTTATCAAAATGTTTGCACGGACAAACTCAAAATAACAATGAAAGTCTGAATGCCTTAATATGGAAAAGATGTCCTAAAGATTTTTTTGTTGGGAAAAAAGTTCTTGAGATAAGTATGAACTCAGCTATTATAGCATTTAATGATGGAAGCACAGCAGTTGAAAAAGTAATTAGTGCTGGAGGTATTGAACCAAGTATGTTTATGCAAGAAGGACTTCGTAACTTGGACCTCATCCGAATTAAAAAAATGAATCACAAATCAAGTGCTAAAGGTAAATTAAGGAGAAAACAGCTTAGAGCCATCAAAAAAGGTTACATAGATATTGAAAAAGAACTGGAAAAGGACCCACAATATAATAGTGGAGGTTTTTAATTGAGTTTGTACTTCTTTTCCTAATATAACGAACTTTAATTTTGTTTTTTGTGTTTTTCTCAAAACGTCATTTTTACTAAATACCTAAATTTTAAAACGCAATATTTTCAGTTTGGGATTATATGCTGACTTGAAATTTTCAGGGTGCTTTTGTTATAAATTGACTTAGGTAATGAACCAAAATTACAAATAAATATCATGTATAAGTATGTTTAAAATCTTTTTTTCTTTTTTTTTTTGTTGAAAATTTTCTTAAATTTATAGAAAGTTACTTTTAAAATGTTCTATGCATCTTTAATGCATGATTTTGGTTCATAACCTCTTTGTACCTTTTAGTAACATAATGTGAAAATTTCAGAGTGAAAGGATATATAGAACTGGAGATATCTTGTTTTAAATTACACCCATATTTTGGGAATTCTTATGGAATAAGTGAGGCAAAAGTTGGGCAATCGAGATTTTATTTTAAAAAAAATAATCAGCATACTTTTTTAAACTTGTGTAATGTAGTTTTAATTTTGTATAGATTATTTTAAAGAAATTTTTTAGAATGGGGGTGTACCACCTTAAAACGCATCCCACATTAAGTGGAACGATTATGTAAAGCGTATTC